TGTGTGTGTGTGTGTGTGTGTGTGTGTGTGTGTGTGGGTATGAGTGTGTGTGTACGTTTGTGTGTGTGTGTGTGTGCATGTGTGTACGAGTGTATGTGTGCGCGTTTGTGCACGCGCGCATGGGTGGGCTATATAAAAAACACACAATTAAATCAATAGGTGTTCTGCTAAACAAACAAGGTTCTATCTTTGCTTTTTGGGGGTAAGTGTTTTACGGCACTTGCAACTGCATAAGGTCATATGAACGTGCGGGACACATTGATAAGCATTTATTTTCAGTTTGGTAGGAATTAATTTTGAATTTAGCACTGGTGGCTGCTGAAGCCTATTATTATCGATTTTAGGACCTCCAAGGGATCTTTAACATGTGCAACATGCAAACGGGACCTCCGAGATTTTTTCCTGCCCCTATCCGAGAAGACCAGGAGTTAGTTTTTAACCTATCCTAAAATCAGGGCTGTGGCTGAAAGACAGCAGTAAGAAGGAGCGAAGTAGTAGCAGGAGAAAGGCTGCAGAAAGAGCCATAGGAGCCCAGAAGAGGGAGGAAAGAGGAAAGGGCAGAGGTGGAAGCAGAAAGTGGAGACGAAGGCAGACGTTAGAACACGGTTAGAGAGCAGGAAAAGAGATGAAAGGAGAACAATTTAGAGAAGAAAATTTCCCCGTCGCTGTCAGGTTTCGAGCCCGCGACCTATTGAATGAAAGGCGAACACCTAGAATCTACTTCTAAAGCACAAAAGCCGGCTTATCCTTGCTTTACTGTGCTTTGTTGGGAACAAAAGCAAACTTTTTTGGCATTTCCCGCTCAAAACACAAAAAAATCCAGCACGCACCAAATTGATGCAGTGTTGCCTTGTGTGACGTGTTCATCCAAATGGACGCCGTTTAACCAAGCTAGAATATATAGATCTGGTTTAAGTGTGTTTTCAAAAGTACAGAGATACATATCAGAATTTAAGTCGTTTTATATTATGATATGATGTTAACTCACTGAAAGGTGGGTGATTAATTAGGGGTTTCGGAGTCAAGAGAGTGCGACATAAAGAACTACATTGTTTTAGTCAGTTTACTGATGTTGCTGTATTCATTTGAGTGTGTGTTTGTGTGTGTGTG